CGCACAGACTTACAGACTGGGGAGAAACCAGGGAGATTTTGCACTTGCATTCACACAACATATTCAGCCTTAAAGCAGTTCGCTTGGTTATGGTTTACCATATGGTAGGCACCCAGCTGTTTTGATTTGTAAATCATGGTTTTCCACTGAATAATTATGGGAACCCACAGGCAACTGGAGTTTAGTCACTGAACCACAGATTTCATATATGAGAACTGCTGGAAAGTCTGGGTTATTTTAAAAATTACTCTGGGGCTCCTGTGCCCTTTTCAAGGCTCCTTCTAATGTCACCCTGAGGACGAAGAGCGCTGCCTCCCCGACTTTATCCTTGCCTGAATCCAGAGAAGCAGTGCCTCCGATGAAGCCCGCTTCCTGATAGAAAAGACTTAAAAAAAAAAAAAAAAACACATAGTACATTCCAAACTTCAATCCATTTTTCCCAGGATCTACCTTGGCTACTGAGTAGCTTGAGAAAGGTTTGGCTATAGGTTGGGCTTTTCGGAGAAGTTTCCTATGGACAGGCAGAGAGAACTGCCCGTGAAGGCACAGCTATGAGGACCGGATGGAAAAAAAAAGAGCATCTTGCAAGCAAGGTCTATCTGAAGGAGGAATCTGGGAGGGGAGCTGCCCAGTTAGGTGAGAATATACCTACCACTAAAAGAGCTTTTTCCTTCGACTCAGCCTCTCTGTCTCCATTCTTTGACCCGGCTGAAAAGGCCCGGTAAGTGCCATGCTCCTGTATCTTTCTCCTCCCTCTTCAAAGCTCTAATGCATGGACTATGAGTTCAAGGAAACAGACCAGAGGAAAACCTGATCTAACCCATTCCCTCTTGTGCATGCATTTTTATTCTTCTGTTACTTCTCTTACTCTGTTCTCTTCATGTTATTTCACTGAGTTCAAACTGCAGTCAAGCATTGGTGTGCCAAATCAGCAGGGCTAGACCTGATTAATACTTGGATGGGAGGCCATCAGGAAATTCCCAAGGCATTAGGTTAAATTGGGCAATTGGAAAAAAAAAAATCACAGAAGGTGGAAATGGCAAAACTATTTCCTTGGTGTTGCCAGGAAGAACTATACAGACATGTCCTAAAATCACTAGGAATCAAGAAAAGAAGCAAGGTAAACTTGCTGCTTTTCCTGACTGGAACCGTGAACTTTTGTCATATTCCTACAAAAAAACTACTCATTCATAGACTTGGCCTCTATGAACTCACTTAAGTCAGAACTGGAAATCCCTCGTGCAGTTTCTAGCATTCTGTATTTAGCCCAGGCCCAGTACGAAAGGCCCCTCACGGACGCCTCGAGAGTTCTTGGTTTCTCAGCCTGGCCCAAGGGTGCCTTTCTCCTGCCCCTGAAAGCAACAGGCAAGCTTCAAGGCCCAAGGTCACACAGCCCTCAGTCGGTTGTCCAACATCTGGCTGCAGTTTCCCATCACCTGCTGGGTGGTTTGGGGCAACTACAGTCCCACCCTTTGTCGAACGCTAGAGCTGGTCCTAGGCAGTGCCGTTTAATCCTTTCTGTATCGACCGATCCACTCCAGCCTAAATGTGAAGGTGCGATGTTGGGGAAGGCTGCTCTGTGGCAGGACATGCTGCCCTGCAATCAACATGGCTGTGGTTTAGTGCAAAATGCTCATGCCCAAACTGAACCTAAAGTACATAAAGAAAGCCACTGAGGTGCCCCCGAATGGCCCCTGAAGTGTGAATGGGGCCAAACGGCTAAATTTGTACTTCTGGTTCTTCAAAGAGCCTGGGCTGTGGAAAGAGGGATGGAGTAAGAAGACTGACAGGTCAATTGGTATAGAACTGGATTACAGGAACTGTGTATGAACATGCACACACGAGTCCTTCAAACTGACTCTGTAAAGAAGAGGCTAATTGGCTATGACTGAGCGGGAATTTGAGCTTCTTTTCCATCACAAAAGCACTAGCGCCATCTGGTGGACAATGTGCAACGTTACAAGCCTTATTTGAGTCACTTGAATCCAGCCCTTGCATCTTGTGTTTATTACGGGACACAGGTAGGGCAAAAGCCCATAGTCCAGGAATTTAAGGGGGCGGGGGAAATCCAGCTATTTTTTAATGGCATATGCAAGTGGAAATCTGCCAAGCGGTTGGGGACGCTAGCTGAATCCAGTGTAAATCTCTTTTGCACTTTGAATTACCTCACCATCTGTTGGCGAGTCCTGTTTTCGGTTTCAGTTCCTCAATGCAGCATGCACATTGCTGGCCCCAGTACTGGCCTCCCTTTCAAGCACGTTGTGAACATTAAAAGATAATAGGGTGATCTACGCAAAATGCTTTATTGGGAAATGCTTTATTTCTTTCATGCCCTTCCCTAACACGCTGAGTAAAACACAACAACAACAACAACAAAAACTCTCAAGTTGACCTCAACAGCTGGTGATTTGTTAGACATGGCTACATAATTCTGTTGGCACCTGTATGAAACAGGTTTTTCACTGCATCCTTCAGGAATGCTTTTTGACTTCCCAGTCCAGTCTACCACCAAGGGATTTCCTAGTGGTCTCCCATCCCACCATTAACCAGATTCAATTTGTTTGGCATTTTGAGATCAGCTATGACTGGCTAGATGTTGCCACCTGAGCGAGGCTCATAAGCTTAAGCAGGAGAAAAATTTGCACCTAGCCTGGCACTCGTCCAAAACACCCAGAGAACACGGGGAAGCATAACAAGTACAATCTTTTCACTTCTCCTGGAGGCGTTTGCTGCATGAGGACAACAGGCATTGTAGCGCAATTCATTTGGAAGCTGCAGCGCTGGAGAAGGCTGCTATAAGCAAGACAGACAGCCCTGCGATCAATGTTGTTTGGTGTAGTGCCAAGTAATCACAACCAAACTATAACTAAATATATATTTTAAAAAAACAGCAACAACACTGAGGTATTCCCTGAATGGCCGGTGAGGTGAGAAAGGGGCAGAACAGCTACTGAGACTTTCTATCAGATGTAGAATTTGTTCAAATGCTAAGGAGAATTGCCACCTTAATTTTGTTCATAGTCACGTACAAAGGGGTACAGCTTGCCCCGAAGACTATTTCTGCTACAATTCCACTTTTGCACAATGGTTACAAGCAGCAGTAACCTGCTGGCCTTTTTTCTGTGAGAATGCACAAACACGTCTGCCTCTCCTCCATGGAGAGCGTAAGGCAACATGGATGTTCTCCACACACCCCCAACTTTATTCTATCCTCACAACAATCCTGTGAGGTGGATTATAACTCAGGTTATCCAGTAAGCTTGGTGGCCAAGGTGGGCAGGGGCTTGTCTCTCCCCAGCCTGCTAACCAAGATAGGTGAAGATGTGTACTTAGCATATCCTTTGAGCTCTAACAATGAACAGCCATAATGCTTTTACTTCAGGCTTCATTCTTAGCCATTCCTAATCATTTCACCACAGCATCTGCTATTCAGGGCAAGTTCTATGAATTGCAGGGACTTTATTTAGATTTCATGATTAACAGCTTCTATTTTTTTCTAGTTTCTTTTTTTTTTAATGATGGTATCTACATTGGTAACCATTATTGCATCTGGTGATGCTAAAGTCACCAGGTTATTTGTGGAATATCCCTACTCTCTGTGATTACTCTAGAGCAGTATTTCTCAACCTTGGCAAGTTTAAGGGGCATGGACTTCAACTCCCAGAATTCCCCAGCCAGCACGCACACCTCTTAAAAGTTGCCAAGGTTGAGAAACACTGCTCTATAGAAGTAATGGAATGGTTAAGGATCAATTTGTAAATAAAAATGCTTTCAAATGGCCCCAGAGGGAGCCACTTTTTCTCCAAATATTTCTCTATTGTATTTCAATATACTTTTCAATGTAAGGTGGCTTCTGTAAATGTGAGGGAGAAGAAGAAGATGGTTGAAAGCACCTCTCTGGATCCAGAAGAAGCTGTGCTGAAACTGCCCAACTGGCACGGCTGCTGCTAGGCAGAAACAGCCCCATCCCCACCCTTCCCAAGCTCAGCTTAGCCCAACCCACCCCCCACAAAAGGGACAGAGTTACTACTGTCCTGCCTCTTCCAGAAAACCCAAAGGGCCGCTCTAACTCTCCCAGACTGAGCGGCACAGACCCACCTCACCTGCCTCCACGATGGCCTTCCAACCAGTTGGTTGGCCACACCAACCACCTTCATGGGCATAACAGCGGGTTAGCTGAGCCACACCCCGGCTTTTTCAAGGATGCACCCATGTCTGTAGCCAGCTAGGTTAGGCCACCTTGTCTCGCTCAGAGGGAAAGCTAACCCAGAAATTGTGTGGCTGACTGGAAGGGTGAGAGAAGAAGAAAAATGGGCTGCTGAAAGAGGAAACTAGGCACCTTTTGCAGCAAGCAGGGCTCTTGCATCCAACTGCCAGGGCCACAAGCCAGATTAGGAGGCCACAATTCTGCTTGATCCCTCCCTGTTGCTCACCTTGGGAGCTCAGCTTGACCCTCAGCAGCACTCCTGCTTAAAACCCAGCTTGGCAGCAACTTTGCACTGTGGTTTGAGAAACGTAAGCAGCAATCGAGCTGAGGCTGCCCCAAGTCCCCACCGTGGGCACGAAGCCATGGAAAAGGGCTGAGTGAATCAAAGGCCGAAGACCTTGCAAGGTGCTCATTAGAAGTTAACCCTGACCAGCCACCTCAAAGATCTCGTACTGGGGAAAGCGTGACATGCAATAAAGTGTTTGTAAAGCTTTCATCCACCCTGCTGTCTGTCCAGTCATAGCCAAAAGAACCCCCCAGTAATCAAATCCAGAAAGATTTTTTTTAAAAAGAGAGAGATGTGATCCAACTGCTACCGAAATGGGGGCAGAATCGGAATCTGAAAGCGCCTGTCAAAAAGTCCTGCTCTACCGCATCCCCCAAACGCACACCCGTGTGACTTACTTTGTCAGCGTTGCAAAGAGAAATACGTGGACCTGGTGAGAAAGAAACCAATTCAAAGGAGGTCTTTGACTTTCCATCACTTTATTTTGTAAAAATAGAAAAGTCCCCCTTCTGCGGCACAGCTGGGAGTGCAGGGGCAGGAGAGAGTCCTCTAAAATACCATGGAAAGCTGGTTATGTAAACATCAAAGAAGGGCCTCACCCTTTTCTTTTTCTCTATCCCACCCCACCACAAACAGACCCCATTTTAAGGCCCGGGGTATTTATTTTGACAGCTTATTTTCGAGGAAAAACCAAGACCATTCAGCAGAGGCTCTGTTCCTTGGTGCACTGTAGTCTGTCATCACTTGCTCTGCAGGGGGAAGGGCCAAGATCTAACTCCCTTTATTACCCATTCCCTGGTGTAAACATAAGTAAATAAATAAAACTTCCTAAAGTGTTGCCCTGCTCATGGCCAGTAAGGAAAAGCAGCATCTTTGGCTGCGGAGGGAGCAACGAAGGAAGGCCAACCGATTCCGCCCTGCACCCTCTCCCACAGGCAAAGCCCCCTCCCCTCTTCTCTGCAATGAAGGCTTCGCAGAGGAGTAGGCCGAGACAGAAGAGCAGCTGGTCATGGCAAAACGTTAAGCAAAGGGCAGTAACATGACGTAACAACTCCTGCCCCCCCCACCTTTGTAGTGTTTGGGTTTTTACAAATTTCTATTGCTGGGGCAGGGGGGTGGGGGAGTCTTTTGGGAGACTTTTGCCCTCTAGCGATAAGGAAGAGCATTTGCTGGGCTTGTGTTCTGTCCCTGGAATTGTGTGAGGGGAGCAAAAATGGCTCCTCTAGGCCTGGGGGAGGGGAATCAAGCTTCCTGGAGCAGAAGTGGTCCCCCTGCTCCATCAAAGTGCTGCAGAAAGAGAAGTAAAGGCAAGTTACGGCAAGCCGTGACCATCCTCAGGGCTTGCTTTCCCTAGAGGGCGACTGACTTCTCCTTGGCAGGGGCGGAAGGGGGCCCTGAGGGACAGCAAACAGGTTCAAGTCTGTAACTCTGCACCCCACACCGCCCCCGTTTTCGTGATATCTTTGGTATCTAGTGTCCTTTGGGGTCTGTTTCCCAGAATTCTTAGCACCGGGGTCATAAGCGTCCCAAGCAACAGGTACAACCCCCACCCCCACCCCAACCCTGCTATACCTCTGACCGGGGATGGGGAAGGCAGTAGGAAGGACCACTGCCCCTCCCTTAATCCCACTATGGGATCGGCTCTCTGCCCTGCGATAATAACACATTAGCACTTTATAAAGCTAACCAAAAGAAGCCCCTCCCTCCCCAAGAATTCGCATAGCCTGCCGGAATCCACCAGAGATGGATATTAATACAAGCACACCCTAAAGACGACGCGTCTAGGGATGAGTGCGTAGAAGTCCTGCCTTTGTCTTCTCCATTCCCCAACATTATTGGTCCAAGGTCTCTGGTGTGCAATGGGGAGAGGAAGGGCTGTATGTCCTTCTGCTGGTCTTCAGATTTCTTGAATAAATAGCATCCCAGGTGCCTGGGTTCCTGGCTTGCAAGGCAGAAGGGTGAAGTGGATTTCAGACCGGGTTAAAGGGAGGAACCGAGAACCACTCGTTACGGAGTCTCTGTTGGCTCTCGGGGTGCCCCTTTTCTCAGAGGCCAGTTTATGAGGAGGGAAATTGCACATCTGGAGCTCATCCCATTTTGAAAAGGAGAGTCTCCAAGTCGAAGCCCCTTTGGGGTTTCCCAGGTTCTGAACATTTGGCTTGAAGCTGCTTGACTCAACTGGACAGGCAACCTGGGGACTTTGGCAAAGCTCTGGGGTTGGGAGAAAAGGCTTCTGAACAAACATCCAAGGCCCCAAAGGAAAAGATTAAGGCAAGAGGCATCCAGCCCACGTCACCAAACACAGAGGAGGAGAGGGGAATGGGCCGCGGCTGCCTCCTAGCTGATCTTGAGCGCTGTCCTGATGCCTGACTCTGGCGGATGAGCCAAGAGCAGGAAAGGCAAGCCTACCACTGTGTCCTGGAGGAAATGGGCCGTGGGAAGGCAGAGGCGAGACACGGAAAAGAGTCTTCTCCCAGCCTTTCTCAGCCTAGATCCTGGCTTTCTTGAGGTGCTAGGGGGCCTCCTCTTGGCTTTTGGTGTCAGCAGGGCTCTCCTCAGTGCTCGGGGCTTCTGCTGAAGTTGGAGGTTGTGACAGCTCATCTTCAAACATTTCAGGGTTTTCCAGCATCTCTCGGATGAGTGGTGGCATGGGACCAGGGATCTCCATCTTCAAGGTGATGGCCCGTTCAGCACCTGTTGAAGAAGAGGGAAATGGGTAGAATAGGTTGATGGGAATTTTCCCATCAGCAGACCTGGTAATAAGAGAAGCTGCATTATTTTTCACCAAGAACACTTGCCATAAGCTTCTCATTGATACTACTGCCAACTCAGGACAGCTACCAATGTATTTTAGCACTTCAATTTGCACACTGGCTGCCTGTGGATACATTTCTACACCCAAGACTCTTCGTAGCCTTCCTGGGAGGAATCAGAAACTTTCAGTGAAGGAGGTGTGTCAAAGCCCTCTAGGAAGTGCTGCATGACAATTCCTCTTCTTTCCATTGCTTTTGGAAGAGTCCACCCATCCACCATCAACTAGAGCAGCATTTCTCAATCTTAGCAACTTTAAGATATATGGACTTCAACTCCCAGAATTCCCCAGCCAGCAAGGCAAAAGGGGCAAAAGGAGGAGTCAACCAGATCAGTATGGTTCCTCCACAATGCAGTGAGCAAAATAAAGACAGCAGTTAAAAACAGAACCCATTTACATCTCCTGTACCTAAGTCTTTGGTTCCTAGAGTGACGCTATTCAGAGATTGCTTCAGGCATCTCAGAAGCGCCCCGTGACAAAAACTCCAAATACCCACACCCGGAGCTCACAGCCAAGGATCTTACACTCCCAAATGAGAATATTCTGTTCACCTTTAGTACTGATCCCCCGCAGGTCAGTAATTTTCATCAGCATGCGGGGGAACATGTAAGGCTTGTTGGGCCGACGTCGGCGTGCGTAGATCTTCAATGCTTCCAGCAACGGTTCCTGCAATTTATCCACCTTTTCTGGCTCTTCCAGGTCCATTCGATCTGTGGGGAGAAGGAAGACGGTGATTTGTTTGTTCTGTTGCTTTGGCCATTCTAGGATGCCTTGACTGTTTTACAGAATATATGGAATTTTCAGTTTTCATCTCCAGATGAACAATTCTAATCTTTATTGGTTTCAGGGCAAACAAGCTGAAAAATTTAGGGCAGTAGGAAGCATCTTTGATGGGGTTTCTGCTTGACACAAGCTCCGGACCACACACTTCACAGCCTGTTACTTTCTGTCATGACACACTTACCTTTTCCTCTTTCCCCTCCCTATTTCTCCATGAGCCTTTCATAAGAGGGACTGGGATTCCAGTACCAGGTCAGGAAAAAAACAAACGAGAGCTGGCTTTTCAAAAATTCTCCACCTAATCCATGAGGAGAGAAATTGGGTGGATGATTTCTCCAGGGGAAGGAGAAATTCTCCAACAAATTTTCAAAGGTAGACCTCTCTCTGCAGATGAATTGTAGCACTGCCACCGAAAACACCTTATGGGAAGACTCCCTTGCAATGCCTTCCCCAGAGACTGGGTTGAACTGCACTGAATCTAAGGTAGAAATGACTGTATAATGAAAGGCAGCATATTCACACATCTGCACACACCCCATTTCAACGCTAAATATTTAAAAACCTTGTATCTGCTCATAATCAATTACCATCTCCCATGAAAGAATTTCTAAAGCACATTCTCTGTCATCAAAATGAATGAGATCTGATAGAAAAAATACAAAAGAACACGGCTCTCTTTGTGTGACCATGCATACAGATTGGTCTGTCTGGGGCATATAACTGTACCTCCTACTTTCAATTTAGAAGTCATTTCATTTTATTACTACCAGTTTTTAGACTTTGGGGTCTTTTAGACCACGTCCCTTTCATAGTTCCAGGGACAACTAACACCCTTTCTTCTTTTTCCTCCTACATCCCTACAGATGTACAGCGATGCTCTAGGATTTTTTTGTGCTGTGTGATTTAATTTTCTCTTCTTTAGAATTTGATATTGTGAGTTATCCCTTTTACTGGCCGATAGTTATGAGAGATGAATTGAAAAGCAGACTTGTCTCCTCAGCAAATGCACTTAAAAGATAAGGGGTGTATGTGTGCGCGCGCACGCACAAATACCCAAAGTTCCTGGTCTCCCTGGTTGCAAGAGTAGGAGATCATTCTTTGCCACCTTATTTTAAGTCTCTTGTACTTGCACTGCCGTTCCCCCGCCTATGAAGAAAAGGAGCTGACCACAGCTGAGGCCCCTGCCCCTCTTCTGAAGTTCCCCAGGGGAAGTTCAGAGCATTCTTCTCCAAAACGAAGTTTCCATTCACCCTCAGCCCATATGGAAAAGACAAGGGCTACGGGGGCTGCAGTCAGGCTATTACCTCCACAGATAAGGCAGATCGCGCTGAGCAGGCCTGTCTCAGTGTCATCCATTTCGAGAGGAAGCAATTGCCCAGCAAAGGCAAAAACCAAATCAGTGAGGGGCCCAAAGCCAGCATTATGCATCTGGGTACGGTTCAAGGTCAGCCCATCTGAGAAAGTCATTGTGTCCTGCTCTGGGGTGTAGCGGATACAAATACGGAGCATCTGCGTGGAGGGGACAGAAATAAAGTCATTGGAGAAACATATTCTAGGGAGAGAAGTCTTTTTTTTTCTTGTTTATTTCTTGTACTCTTATAACATCCAATAAAGAAGCTCTCTGGGCTGCATACGTATTTTGAACATTTTCACCATGCAAAATGCAGTTTCCTGAGAACGTCAGCCTTTCCAATAAATTTTGGCCTTTCATCCTACAATTATATGCTTGGAAAATGCCCAGCAAAACCTCAGTAACCAGACTCGAAGCTGAGCAAAAATTCTTGCCAAAAAAAAAGTGTGGAGGGGTAGAGCTTCTCATGCTTCTGCCAGCATGCTGGCTGGGGAATTCTGGGAGTTGAAGTTCACACATCTTAAAATTGCCAAGTTGAGAAACACTGACTTAGACACACTGCTACATTGGGGATCCCCTTGGAAGAGAAGTCTTTAAAAAAATCCTCTTGCCTCTGTTTAAAGCCAAATGTATACCCACCCTCCGTCCATGCAGGCCATCCCTCCAGCTCCCACCAAGTGCTCTAGCCCTGTCCCTCACCAGGATGTCCAAGCACGCTGCCTTGAGCAAAGTAATTTGGTCAGCAATGCTGAGGGTGGTGAAGCCTGGCAGGCGTTTGGCAAACTCTACTATCTTGATGATGCATTTGGTAGCCAGTTCGCTGAATTTGTCCCATAGCCCCAGGTCCAGCTGTACTCTGTGATCAGCACTGGAGTTCTGGAAGAAAGGAGAAGTCAGGCATTACAGCTGCTTTCTTTTTCTCCATCCCTCACTTTTCTGTCTGCGTATATACATAGAAGGATGTCTCCTAGAGTCAGCATTCCTGATCTATCCCTTCCAGCTTAGCAGCCACAAGTAGCTTGGGACTGCAATTCCCAGGATTTCTATTGTGGCTAAGAATTATGGGAGTTGCAGTCCCAAGATGCAGCCAACAGGTTGGGCACTGTGCTGGAAAATGCTGTGGTTTTTCCCCCCATTCTCTCTTCTTCTTAAAAATAATAACAGCTCTAAACAACCCATAACAATAACAGCATTGAAGAAAAGTGTTAATATTACGTTTGCTGCTAACTTCATGTCAGAGCACATAGCAAACTGTGCATCTAAGCCTAACTCATGTGAAGATTTAGGAATTCCCACATGAGGGATGGGGACCCTGTGATCCTCCAGATGTTGGATTACAACTCCAGCGCTGCTTTTCATTGCTGGCTGGACTAATGGGAGTTGGCATCTTAATCACCTAGAGGGTCACAGCTGCCCCATCCCTGGATCAGTATATTTTCACTTAATTGTAATATGCACCATTAATATCCTGAGAGAATTGGACTAAATACTATGTTCTGTTGTGTCCTGTATTCTCTTACCAGATTGCTTGAAGTATAAGTTTTATATGTTAAAGGGAAGAGGCTTGAATTAAGGATGGTTTTGCATGGAGTTAAAGGTTGGTTACTGAAAAAGCTATGAATATATATAAAGGAAATAAAGAATTCATGAAAATAAATGGAATATTTAGCAATTGGTTCAACACTGAGCAGAGAGTAAGACAGGACTGTGTGGTGTCTCCTTTCTTGTTTAATGATGTTATGGATAAATGTATAAGGAATTGTGGCGACCTTAAATGAGAGCTGATTGGGAATATGACTGTATTTTTTTATGCAGATGATACCATGTTGTTGGTGAGAACCCTAATGATTTGTTGTGAACTTTGGACAGTTTGTATGATGTTATGAGAAGTATGGATCTGAAAATTAATCTATCAAAGATGAAGGTATTTGTGCCTGACAGAAAAGTGAATGATTGCCAGTTATATATCCATGACAAAACCTAGAACAAGCAGATGAATTCATGTACCTTAGTAAAGTTTTTAGTAAAGACAGGAAAATGGATGGAGAAATTTTAAGTTGTGTAAACACTGGAGGAAAAATAGCAGGTAGCATGTGACCTGCTCTGGGAAATAACTGTTTGTTATGAGAATGGCTGTGTACAGTGATTTAACCGACCTCCATTTAATGCACTTAAGATCCAAAGGATCAATTTTGCATTTGGATTTCACCACCGAAATAATGCATAAGTCCATTATTTCTGTGGTCTGTCTGGGTAATTGATATTTTATGTCATTTGCATCAATTTACATCAGTTGTGTAATTACACATTATGTCAAATGCATCAATTACATACATTTGGATTTAACAGACATTCAAATTTAATGGACACCATTTCTCCCTAAATGGTCTATTTGACTGAGATTTGATTGTATAAGGCTATGCTTTGCCTACTTTGTTATATGGAAGTGAGATTAGGCTACGTCAGGAGAAAATAAGAAGGAAGTGAGGACTCTAAGAAGTGTGTGTGGTAAAACAAGAAACAATGAGTCAAGAATAAACGGATACTAAATGAACGTAAGTTGAATATAAAAGTGAGGGACCAATGTGAAAGAAGTACCTTGAGGTGGTTTGGTAATAAAAAGAGAACAATATGGATGGATGGATGGTGTGGGTCTTCCGGGCTGTGTGGCCGTGTTCTGGAAGTTTTGTTTCCTAACGTTTCG